TCTCATACTTGATTCATACAAATAAAGATACCAATAGTGGGAGAGTTCCCAAATTGGTTTTCAAATTGGTTCTGATTGTGGGGCTCAGGGACAGAAATATTACCACTTAACATCCAAGCCTCTCAAAGGAAATTCATGGAATATAATAATAATGATACCAGAATAGACCTTCATATGTATTTCATGGCTCTATATCAAGTACCATGGATTATGAAATGGTCCTATCAAATAACAGAAGATTATACTAATAATTGAGAATACATCCCATAACTCGAAAGACAAATATACGTAAAATGGTGGGATGTATATGGAAATAAGACCATTAATCCCAAAAATATAAAACTGAAAAAAGTACCACTTACACCTCCAAAAGAAGAAGTTAATATGACCAACTATATCAATAAAATGAGGCAACAAAATCCTACTACTACGAAAGAAGAACTCAAAAGAAAATTGTTGCAAATGTCCGATGAAGAAGAAGAACAATGTCTACATCCACACAAAATGAAGAAGACTACGCACAGGAAAATGAAGACATAGAGTTTGGACTATCCCAAAGGGGATGAACAATCTATCCAGGACGGAACGACTGCACTTCACAAGCACTCGAGTCCTGCTGACAAAACAATTCCTGCCGACAAAAATAGTTCCAGCCAACACTTTTCCCTAGTCACACTTTCGGTCACTTCGACCGACACCTTTTCCCTGTTCATACTTTGGGTCACCTCAACCTACACTTCCCTTTTTATCCAAAACAAAGTTGAAATAATTTTGGAATCCGCGGGCTATAAAAGGGGTTCCTCTCTCTCAGTTAAACACGGTCTTTCTCCCCCAGTCTGCTCTGCATCTCTGCTCTCCATCTCTGTTCTGCACCTCTGTCTTACACCGATACTATGTATATCTGTAGACTTTCTTCATCTCTTTAAAGTCTCTACATTCCTGCAGCCTCTCTCTCTCTTTGACTTTCTTCATCTCTGTTCAATACAACCCTGTAACTCGTTTTGTACTCTCTTTCTCGTTGTTGTATATCTGGTGGTGTATCTACTCACCTTGAAGTAAATAGCTTTATGTGTGACTGTAACTGGGACAATCTGCCTAATTATTGCCCAAAAGAGTGGAGATTATTTCTAGATATTGCAAGTGTCATGTGTAAGTTTTTCCGTTTACCTTACTATGCAAGTTAAATTTGTAGTTGGTTTAAAAGTCGGAAATGTTTCATATGTGAATTGGCTTGTGATTGATAGCTCACCGCTTTTATGTATTCTCTGCTTAATAATATTTATATTCATAAAGTTTGTGTACCGTTGATTCTTAACTCACATCTTTCTGTTTGTTAGAATTTATTAGAATTTAAAATTTTATATGATATTGGTTTGTTTTGGTATCAGAGCCAGTAGCTTACAGTGGTGACCTGTAATTAGAAAATGTTGTTCTAGAGGTTAAAACCGTAATAAAATTTTCCATTTAGATAATAAGGAATTGAAACTAAAAGTCGTCATGACCCGAACTACCGACAGGCCAGGAAGAGCTGCAACAGATGCAGGAACTGTTTCTGATTGACTCAGTATTCTTCCATAATAATAATAATAATAATAATAATAATAATAATAATAATAATACTAATAATAATAATAATAATAATAATAATAATAATAATAATAATAATAATAATAATAATAATAATAATAATAATAATAATAATAATAATAATAGTAGTAGTTGTAGTAGTACACCTTATAAAGGGTTACTCTTTACAAATATTGAGCCCAAATATTTAACTAATTTGTCTCAATGTTGAAGAGAGAGCTCTTTGACTTTTTTATTTAACTAATTGAAGAGAGAGCTCTTTGAGGTTTAAGTCATTTTAAAAGTTCTTTCCGATTTTACTAATATAATGTAAAGGGCTGAAGGTATTTCCAAAAAATGTGTAGGGTTTATTGAAAAGAACAAAATGGTGCACTTTTTTTATATAATAAGAACAAAATGATACACTTTTATTTAATATTTCTAAAACAATCAGCTTTTTGGAAAGGCAGCGAGCTAAGATGTAGCCTATTAGTGTGACTGGAAAAACATCCAAGACCATAAAGTTATGGAAAAAGTTTAGATAAGTTGTCAACCTTATACCGTCGAAGTAAGGTGCACATAAAAAATCCCCTAAAAGAGAGTGTTCCAACGTTGGATAAAACCTTCAACTTGATCATCTCAACCTCAAGGTATATAGCACGAAACAAAGAGCATTTTAAGTTCTAAAAGGTGCATTTTTGTAATAAATTATATGGATGATGTATTTTTAAAATTTTGAAGTGTTTATACATCTGCATTATCTGTATCATTTTCAAAATTTTAGATATCGTAAAAAGGAAAAAGTAGATTTTCAAATCATGATAAGATTTCTGACACCAAAACTATTTCTCCAGACAAAATTTAGAGGCACACCTTACTTCTACCATTTAAAGAAGGTACCATATACAATCCTCACTCTACCACATGGCTCACATCTACTTGTTTTTCTTCCTTGGGTAATTACTAAAAGATACGCCTTCTTAAGTGACAACTCATGCACAAAAATACTCCGAGCTAACTTATCCCAGTGCAATTCTTATTTCTAATATTAAAAAAAAAAAAAAAAAAAAAACATTGAACAGCTCCAATTTTGATTTGCTCATTAGGTGTTTATGTTTTGTTTAGAGTTAGAGTGAGAAGAGCTGATCCTCCATTGTTCATCTTATATTAATCAACGGTGACGGTTATGTTAAACTAGTTTTATGAATTATACTATATATGTATAAAATAGAAATATTCTATTTTAAAAACACCGGGTCAAATCCAGATCGGATCCATTTGTACCTAGATCCGATCTGGATTTTTATTCAAATTTGAATTTTGGATCTAAATTCGAATTTCGAATCCAATAATATTCATACCCCGATCTGAATAGGATTCGAAAATTGGGTTTCAAATCTGAATCGGGTAAATTCTCAGCCCTAGCAACACATTACCATATTGCATTCCTATTCAACCAACCAAATTTGGTCCAGCTTTAATTTATATTTCAATAGCATACATAATTTAGGAACAATAGCTCCCTTATGATCAAATTATCCCAAGATCAGAAAACAAATCAAATAATTAAGAAATAAATATAACCAATTTTGCTCGAAATCAAGGGGGGATCAAAAACCAAAAGGCTAGGATTTTGCTACCATTATTATTATTTCAAAACTCAAATTACATATGCTAACGGCAAACTATCAATTTTTGTCCATCACATTACAAACAACATCAAATACATGAAAAATCGAGATCATAAGTGCTTAGATGCACCTCAAAACCAATATTTCCTCCTTAATCATCTATAGAGAGAGATAGAGAAAAGCCCCACGAAATAATAGGTGAAAACACGATCAGAATGTGATCAACAAATATTCAAATAAGAAACAACATCTCAATATTCACTTATGTTTGCAAGACAATGAAAATTAATAAAGCACTACCCCTATTTTTTTTTAAAAAAAATAATCAAAGAACGTCATTTATAATGATATTTAGTGATATTATTGAAATTTTTTAAGGCCGGATCTGGCCGATCCGCCGATCATAACCGATTTTCCAGATAGACGATCTGGATTACCGATTTGTTTAACAAACAATAAATAATCATTTATCATGACTGATTTTTATTAAAATAATGTATTATATTTTTTTGGTTTGTTTGAGGAACAGTAACAATTTTATTGCTAACTGTATGATCACCTTACAACATTACAATCGCCAATCGGCTCAAATACAGCAAACCAAAAAACCAAAATAATATAAAGTAACAACAGCAAAAAAACAACAACTAAAATCTAAATTACACCACTACTAAGCTAGCAGCCGCTACACCTGATTAAGCTTAATCTATCCGCCTCCATATTGCACTCTCTATAAACGTATTCAAAGCAACACTCCATATCAACGCAACATTCCGCAAACTTCTCTAATCAAACTATGCAATCTCCGTGGATATTCAGACTCCTTTTTTTTATCCATCTAATAATATTCAACGAATCTCTGAAACCTTTTTTCTGCCAATTTAATACCATTCACAATGGTATCTCCTACAGGACCATAGTATTTTAGTAAAATACTGCCTTGACAGTCAAACAATGTATTATGACAGGCCACTTGGCTCAAGGGAACCGCCCACCTTAACTTTTAAAACGCTTCACATCGATGGGGACCAACTCTTTTAAAATAGTTTAGCACGTGTGTCAAGGACATCACGGATAGCGGGCACACGAGCCACTATTTAAATGAGTTTGGGGTGTAGGTGCATGTCTATTGAGGGAGGAAGAAAGTTTATATAAGGTCCGAACCTTGTACTGTACGGGTAAGGTGCACCTAAAAACCCATTAATGAAGGTTTTTTCGATATTGAAAAATCGTCAAAGTCGATCATCTTGATCTCAAGATTTATTCACAGGAAAAAATGAGACTTTTAATCTTAAAATCTTCTTATATCCATTTTCAAAAATTTTAAGTATTTCTTGGTGAAACTTTAAATTTCATGATTGGGAGCAACAATAGATTGACTTAATTTTTAAGGATATCTAATATCTAATCTGGATATCATTAATAGAAATAAATAAATAAATTTTAAAAATTAAAAATAATAACTCTAATAAAAAAACATTTAGACCGCTAGTTTTTATTGTTTTAATATGAAACACCTGAAAAATGATTTACACTTTCTAGGCAGCATATATAGACATGCGGTCCAGGCCGCATGAAACAATTTTCCTTTTGGGAGAGAGCAGTCAAAAGACAAGGTCGGTGAGAGAGAAAGAGAAAAGACCTTTCATTAAATAAGGGGGGGAAAGGACGACGAAGGGTGACAACAGAAGTCAGCTGGAATGACGCGAGTCGAAGAGTCAAAACTCACTTTCTCTCTCTAAAACACCTCGCTTTCTCTCTCTAAATAACTCTTGTTCTTTTGCTGTTGTCCGCCGCATCCATTTTGAATATCCTCGCCCCGCGTCCACACTGACTGAGCAACTCCTCCTTTCTCTCTCTACAAATATTCTCCATTCCTTCTTCTCTCTCCTCAACTTCTGTGCCTTGAGTACTCGAGTCTTACAAAACACCATTCTCTCTGCACAATCACCACAAGAACAATCCACGACCCCTCTGTTCCATTACGTCTATTTTGCCATCTTTTTCTTCTTCGTCTTATTCTTCCTCCAGGCTCATTTCTCTCTGTTTTATTCTCTCTCCTCCCTCACAAAGACGCGGATCTATGCTGGAGAGGATTTAGGGTTTTTGAAGGATATGAAGTTGTGAACCTGTAATGTGCTAGATTTATTTTTTTTGCCGGTTTAATGAGAAATTGTGTATGATTTGTTGCTCTATTAAGCTTTTTAAGCTCTGCTTCTGATTTTTTTTCCAAGCTTAATGCTGTTTTAGATTTTTTTTGTTGGTTTAATGATCAATTGTGTATAATTTTTGCTCCTTTGAAACTTTTTTAGCTCCGCTTTCTGATTTTTTTCCAAAGATTGATGCTGTTTTAGCAGTTAATTTCTTGTTTCCATCTACTACTATTTATCTTTAGTATTGTAATGATTTCTTTCAGGATTAATGGCTGCTCATACTTCATAATAAATAAATGTCTCTTTCTTACTCGTACTATTTTTCAGAAGATCTGAATGATCTCCTGTAATCATTTCAGTACCAGCTGGACTTGAACGGTTGTGATCGATCTAATCTCCAGTACAGATTCTGATCTGGACCAGTGAGCTAAAGAAGAAACCGGACCGATAAGCCAGCTTTTTGCTTCTTTTCACACAAGAAGGAAAAAATTCCTGTTCATCGGAAAGTTGCAGTGAGAAGAAGGAAGATGGACTTACGAATGAACAATAAACATAGAGAGATGAGTCCAGAGAGAACAAAAAAATGGACTGAACCCAAGGCTAATAAGCAGGAAAGAAAAGTTGCAGTGGTTTATTATCTCTCTAGGAATGGGCAGCTTGATCATCCTCATTTCATTGAAGTTTCTCTCTCCTCTTCTGAAGGCCTCTACCTTAGAGGTACTGAACTTGTGCAGTTTTTTCTCTATGTTTTTTTGAATGAGATTTTAGGCCCAAATTTCATGCTCATTAGCGGAGGAATGGACTGATTTCTGTAGAAATTATTGCTCATTTATGATATAATCTATATTCTTTTTGGGCTTAAATTTGTTTTTCAGATGTAATCAATCGTCTCAACACTCTTAGAGGCAAAGGGATGGCTGCAATGTACACTTGGTCTTCAAAAAGGTAAATTGCTTCAAAAATCGGCGGAAGCATTCCATTTCTCATTCTGAAAGACCTGTATTTCTTCTTTCTTGTAATTTTTTCTTATCTCTTGCTATATAAATCCTGTTATGTTTTTTTGAATGTTCACAAACCCTGTAATTCCTACTTCCCATAATTATCTCATTTCACAGTTCTCACTTCAGAAAACCCTGTAATTTCCTTCTTTCTAAATCTTTTATCATTTCCCAGTATATAAAACCCGGTAAATTTTTTTTTTCCTGTTATTTCTCTATCTGAATCACGTGGTTACAATGATAAAGGAGCTACAAGAATGGTTTTGTGTGGCACGATCTCTCGGAGAACGACTTCATCTACCCTGCTCATGGCCATGAATACATTCTCAAAGGCTCAGAGCTGCTCAAACCTTGCTCTAATAACACAGAGCCTTTAGAAACCTCCTCCAAGGAAGGATCTCAGTCAAGTTCACCTGAAAAACCTTCAAATGATGTCCTGAACTCTTCCCCGGCTTATCCATCCTTCCGAAAACCTCACCGGAGAAACCCATCATGGAGTTCTTTCGATCTTAATGAATACAAAGTTTACAAAGCTGAAGCCATGGCTGAAACCTCCTTTAAAGCAGCAGCTGATGCTTCTACTCAAACAGATGAAAAGAGAAGAAAGGGGAGAGAGAACCTAAACAGAGGGGTCTCAACTGAAGAAGACAATAATAATGAAGTACCATTTGCGAATTTCTCTTCCGAGCTTTGCAGAGAAGAGATCTCTCCTCCCCCATCATCTTCTAGCCCTTCTTCCGATTTCAAAGAAAATCCGACAGAGACCTTAGAATCACTGATAAGAAGTGATTTCCGTACCGCCAGTCGAGAACCAGAAGTGCAAGTTGATATGGTGAGCAATGTTAAGGTTGGTAAGGCATCAAGTGTTCTGATGCAGTTGATATCTTGTGGTTCCATATCGGTTAAGGACTATGGTGTGAATCTGTTAACTCATGGCAAACCTAAGTTGGCTCCGAGGGATTCGAACCAAGTTCGGGAGCTGGAGTACGTCGCAGAGAGTGGGCGTTTTAATGGGGTTTCTCTGGAAGACAAGGAGTATTTCAGTGGGAGCGTCTTTGAGAGCAACAAGGAGAGAGGGAGTGATGAAATGTTGCAGAGTCTCAAGAGGTCTTCTTCTTACAATGCTGATAGGTGAGAGACCACAGTCTTCTTCTCTTTCTTCACATTTTGTACTGTGATCCATATGACCTTGAAAGAACTTTGGTCATAAGGGTTTTCACTATCCGATCAATTGATGGATGGTGATGGAGATGGTGAGTGTGACCTATCCACTTGGATCACGGCATGTTGTTGCGAACCAATCTCTCTCCATTATTATGATGCTTATGACCATAGATCCTCGAAGGTCCCATGGATCATAGCCGAATTGCTAAACATAATCTTCCCCTGCTTTATTCCTTTCCTTTCTGGTTTTGTTTGATTTTGGGGTTTTTTTTTACTTGTGATTTGAATTGTTTGGCAAATTGAGGGCCCAACCTAACAGCTCCTTTGCTTCTTTTAAATTTGAAAACCATGTTTTCTTACCCATTTTCCACTTTTGGTTGACTAGTCAATTCCTCTAATAAGGGGAATGAACGACTAGTACTAGCTGTGGCAATTGACCCGGATCCGACCGGGAAACCGTTGGGTATACCCGACACTGGTTGGGTCTGGGTATGGCTCCAACAGTTGGACCTGGCGGTTTAGGTTGGAGTTGAAAGCGGGCCCCGAATACTATTCGGATCTGGTTCCAGGTCTAGTTGGATCCAGCCCTTATTAACCTGTGCTACTTCAAGCCCTATTTGTTTGGGTATACTAAGGATTATACAAATAGAATTCGTAGTCATTTTTAGCTATTAAACGATAAATCGGACCGTTTGAAATCGAATGTGTAGTAGTTGTGGCCTTGTTGTAATAATATGGACGAAGCCCAAGACTCGACGTGATAGACCCGGTACCCGAGAGGTATGGGTATGGGTCCAACTTTTGAACCCGATGGGTTGGGTCCGGATCCAAAACTTAGACTCGAATATTATTTGAGTTTAGGTCCGGGTCCAGCCGGACCCGACCCATACCCATCGTGTTGCCGCCCCTCATTGATACCATTGATTGGAAAATCAGAATCAGGCCTCAGGATTCCGGTTTGCCAAATTCGACCGGGGCCATTCTCTTGTAGGGTCAGTCTGTAGTTACCCAAGAAATATAAGAAAATAAAAAATACTGTAGAGTTGAGGTGATTTGGGGTTCCTTGATCTGGAACCTTGCACCTCCATTTCTGGTTGGGCGACTCCGAGTTGGATCGAGGATTTAAATGGTGGGAAATCAGGCGGGTAAAACGGGGGCTATATTAAAAGTGCGAAGGATATTATGAAGATGGAAATAAACAAAAGCAGACTTTATTAATTAGTATTTTACCAAACGAAAAATAGTAACTTAAATCACTAAGACAACCAAGGATCTTGACTATTCTATCTAAGACTACCGAGGATCTTGACTATTCTATCTAGAATCTTGAATTCTTAATTATAATGTCCACATTGAAACACGACTCTCTATTTAATGTGCGAGTTTAGTTTTGGGCCAAAATCTAGTTCCTTTTTTCTATTGATTATTTCTCGACTCTTTGCATATAATCATAAGTTGTTGGTCATTTGTGTACTTGTACTTTTTAATCCCATAAATTTTAGGAGTTAATACTGTTAATTATTTGGAAATCCATTATTTAATTTGGATAATTACTTTGAGAATGTATCGAACACCTTATTCTTACTTTGTCGAAAGTATTAAATTTGAAACATGATACAAAAATCGAAGGCTCCTATAAGTAAACATGGTGTAGTTTTGTATTTCAAACTTTGGCAAGTGTTAGTTTCAATTCCAAAATTTAGTCTCCCCTGCATGATATAGCGAAGAACTTAGATTTTCCAGTTGAACAAAATGTGCTTTTATTTCTAAATGTGAAATCTATTGAAAGGTTGACACCTTTTATAATTTTTTTGTCTATTAAAATACATCTAACTTTTCAATAATTTGACAGTTTATCCTTTTTTAAATATTCCCACTCATGGGCAGTTGTATTTTAATGTGTATTTCAAGATTAAATAAAAAAAGAGAGTAAAAAGTTAAAAATTGATCTCTTATATATATTTTGATAAATCCCCTTAAATTAATCAACCATAAAGTCTTCTCTCTCTAATTATTACCACGATGTTTAAGAAAATCCAATTAATAAAGAATAAAAAAGAATAACATGAGTTATATTATTATTTTTTTTATCTCAGGTGCTCAAAGAGTGAGATTGGAGAAAGAGAAATAGAGGGTGGGCGAGCAAAGTGCATACCTCGAAAGCTCAAGTCCGGAAAGAGAGAGCACAACGACGCTATGCACAAAGTTTGAACACCTACTTCTCTGTATTTTACATGAATAAGACCAAAAAAAATATAGATAGATATATGTATGTTCTTTTGACCTTTTGTCCTTGGAAAGTAGGCTTCAGCTGTGTAGGTTCCCAATGTTCTAACCCCATTATCTGATCTAATATTTTTGTATTAAACTCCGAAGTTTGCATAAATGGGGTAATGTGTTTATTGGGGCCTATGCGCCTTGACAGGCACGGCAAAGTGATGAGACTATCCGAGCACTTACTCTCATGGATGCTCTAACTCTTACTGGTATCTCCTCCATATTAGTCTCAGCCTTATAAAATATGCTCTTTCTCTCTCATGAGGCATATAGAAAGCCTCGCCATCTTTGTGTGATTCTATTAAGCTTGGTCTTTGTTCTTCATATTTATTTTACATTTAGAAACTTATCTCTCTGTGTATCCTATTCAATAAACATCAATGCTTTAGTATTCCGTATTGGGAAAACTGACTACACAATCGCACCTATATATATTTTACCTAGGATGAGGTTTGTATAAGGTCGGCTTCCTTATACTGTAGAAGTCAGGTGCACCTATAAAATTTACTTAGAGATGTCTTTTCGGTGTCGAAAATCTTATGATGGTTTCAAAATCTTTTTTTTATCTTTAGTTCGAAAATTTAAAATTTTAAAAATAGTACAGATCGAACAGATTAATAAACACTTTAAAATCTAGAAAACAAACCGTTCATATGCCTTTTTAAAATATGTACTATTTTTTGAATTTAGAAATTTTTTTTTTTTCATGTCCATTCATCTCAAGGTCGAGATGATGAGTTGGAGTGTTATCTTACGTGGGAACACTCTCCACTATAGGATTTTTGAGATGCACCTTTCCTCAATAGTATAAGGTTGCAACTGTATACAAACTTTTTCTTTTTAAACCTATATTGCTCATAAAAAAGTTTATATAAGGTGTCAACCTTATATTGTATTGGTATGGTGTACTTCAAAAAATCCACTAGGAAAGGTTGTTTTTATGTTGATAAACTTTTAAATCGATCATCTCGACTTCGACATTTATAGACAAAAAAAAAAGAGGGATTTTTAGTTATAAAAATAGTTCATCTTCTAATACATTATCTAGAGCGTTTATTTTTAATATTTTCAAGTGGTTATAGATCTGTTTTATCGTCACAGTTTCTAGAACTTTAAATTTTATAGTTGGGAGAAACAATATATTTTCATGCCATCGTGAGGCTTTGCAGCACTGAAGCTATATTTTTGGCATAGTTGAGGTGTACTTTACTTCGATAGTATAAAGTTGACACCTAATACAACTATTGCTCATCTCCTAGATGTCTCATCGGAATGGATGATTGGGATAGTTTCATATGTAATGTCCTTTAGCTGTAATGTCCTAAGCCATTGGTCATTCGATTTAGATGATTGGGATAGTTTCATATGTAATGTCCTTTAGCTATAATGTACTAAGTAAGCCATTGGTCATTCGATTTAGATGTGACATCTCAGAGTATTTTATTTTTAATATTTTTTACAAATAATATGAACATGAAATTTGATGTATTTTATTTTAATATTTTCTACAAATAATATGAATATGAAATTTGTTGCATGTCATCATCTCAAGCCGTACTTAAAAAATACAAAAATTATGTTTCAAAAAATAAAAATAGCCAAAATACCCTTTAAAGTTTTAAGGATGTTTTGGCCATTTATCTTTTGAAAATAAATTTTGTTTTATATTTTTTATAGGTGCAAATTAATGCGAGGATTGGATGCCCCAAATTTAGTGTCAAACATTTATAGAAAAACTTAAAAATAAAATAATGTTTTGACGTGATGTTGTAAGGGCCGTATCAGCCACCCATTCAAATTAGATGTATGGGGGATGGGAGATAGGGATGCAGGTAAAACATATATTGCTGGGATTCATAGCAAGGAATCCCTTGTGTTAATTGTTTTACAATTCTATAAAGTTTTGGGTGGATGGTTTTTAGTTGATTATGGAATCAGGTTTGACCGCTGGCATTGGACTTGGAGCCTTTGGCCTAGTAAGTAGTGCATGATTGGGCGTTGTGTAAATAAAAGTGGAAATTGAGGCAAATTGTGGGACATTCCGTGGATATGAGATACAAGTCTCCTAAGTTCGGTTTACTATGCCGTCCGTGTCACAAGCCCTACGAAATTTAAAACCGCCCCTCCCCTTTCCCCAAGCAAATAAATGCTCTCTCTCTTGTAAATACTCTCTCTTAGAGCCAATATAAATGCTCCCTCTCTCTCTCCTTCTCCCTCTCCCTCTCCCTCTCCCTCTCCTCCGCAAATATAAGTGCAGGTTGAGTCAGAATTGTTGGAGTTATTGAGACCTGTTTATTAGATGGTTTTGATTGAAGTTTTGGTTAAATTTGGTTTTAGTGGTCAAATCTTAAAAAAATTCAAAAATAATTATTAAAAAATAAAAAATTAAATTATAATCTGTTTTTTTATGTTTTCTATCATTTTGAAAATATTGAAAATTTGTTTTGGCTATAAATGATTATATTTTCTCCAGCTCTTTAGATTATTTCTAAAATATTCTTGATTACAAGATGATTTTTCCAAATCTATTTTTTCATTAGTTGTTTAATTTCATTTAAATGTGTTTTGCTTAATTTTATCTAAATCATATTTTCATATATTTTTTTTAATCACTTTTTGACTTGGCCAATTCCTGCCCGATTGGGGCGATTTACCTGGATCCGGTCCAGCCCGACCCAAGGCAGGGTACCGTGCCCAAGTGGTTTCCTCCACTGACAACTCCGAACCTTTCTTCATCTTTCATGATATTGGCTTGTAGTCTTGTACATTATTTTGCACGTGAACCCGCGAGGCCGCGTTTGAGAAATTTATGCCGGCTGAAGGGAACTAGGAAAGCACTGCCAACTAAAAGTACATTTCCAAGAGGTATACAAACCTTTATATGGCTGCAAATGAAAATAAATAAATAATTTGATTCCAAAAACTTTGACGCCATCTGTTGGATTTAAATCATTTTCTGGTTTTAGATAAGTTTGGCAGCCTTTAAAATGAAACCCATGACCTTGAGTTAATTGCAGAAATTGGCTAGTGATGTCCGACAGTCTCAATTCTTACCTTGGGCCTCTCCCTACTTACTCACCAAAAAAAAAAAAAAAGAAATTATCATAAATATATCTTAATTTTTGTCTATATAGAAAATAACTTTTAATTTTCATAAACCTCACTCACACCATTTTTGTTCAATTTTTGATGTTTTTTGACAAAACTAACCTTTACGGTAGTCGTATTACCGTGAAGCACAATTACAGTACTCTAAATATCATAAAAACTAACACATGTTATACGGCGTTTTAAGTACAGTAAGAACTAACCCATGTTATACGGCATTTTAAGTACTGCAAACTCACCTATATAATATGGCTTTTTAAGTATAGTAAAAATCCACCCATGTTATACGGCCCTCGAAATGTCGTAAATCTTTTTTTCTTTTTTATATTTATCTCTTTTATCTCTCTAATTCTTTTTATGTTTTTCTTATTTTTCTCTCTAATTCTTTTTAATATTTAACTCTTCTTTCTTTCCCAAATTTTGTTTATCTTTTCTTTCTCTCTAAACCTTTTCTCTCTCACTCTCTTTCTCTCTCTACTTACTTCATCAACTCAACAAATGTGATTTCAACTCGATATAAATTTGACTCCATCTAATTTTCATAGGAGATGGGGTTGAAAGGAGTTTTTATAGGGGAGATAAGGTACGTACAGGTTGCTATACAAATCTCCTTGGAGAAAGAAAGAGAGTTAGAGAGAGAAAGAAGAAATAAACAAAATTAGAGAAAGAAAGAAGAGATAAATATTGAAAAGAATTAGAGAGAGAAAGAAGAGATAAACATAAAAAGAAATTGAGAGATGAAAGAGATAAATATGAACATGAAAAAATGGTTTACGGCATTTCAAGAGCCGTATAACATGGATGGGTTTTTACGGTATTTAAAATGCCGTATAACATAGGTAGATTTACGGTACTTAAAATGCTGTATAACATGGATTAGTTTTTACGGTACTTAAAATGTCGTATAATATGGGTTAGTTTTTACGGTACATAAAGTATCGTAATTGTGCTTCACGGTAATATGACTACCGTGAGGTTATTTTGGTAAAAAAAAAAACCCAAAATTGAATAAAAAGGGCATGGACGAGGTTTATAAAAGTTGAAAGTTTTTTTTCTAAATAAACGAAAATTAAGGTATATTTGTGATAATTTCCCCCAAAAAAAAAACAGCTATGACCTTGAGTTAGTTGCATAAATGGCAACAAACAGTTCATTCTCATTCTTTGCAACTCTCACTCTCTCTCTATTTTTCTTTCTCTTCAATGGAAGTTGAAGGAGCCACCAAGCTCACCTATTTACCCCCTCTCACTTATCATATCCCCTTCATTCTTTTCTCTTAGTTTACTTCCCCCACTCTTTCATTTAATTTCTCTTCCAACTTCTCATTATCACTCTACTTTCTCTTCTCTTTGATGGTAAAATGTGCTAACGTGCGTTTTTTTTCATAAGCTTTCTTCCCTTATCAAACATGTGTAAAGCAATTTTACTGGGGAAAATATTTTTAGAAAATATTTTTACCCCAACTAAACATGCCCCAAAAGCTCTCTTTGTGCTTGTTCTAAGAGCTAGAATTTTCATGAGCTAGAAAGCTCTGTTGCTTTTGTTTATTTTGAGATGCAGATCCTTTCAGAAGCCATTGTTAGTATTTTAGTATTGTAAAATACTATAAGATATTTCAAAATAATATATCTAATTACTTTCTAAGTTTTAAATAAATAGAAAGAGAAGGTGGTCGGCATTAGTGCCATACTGAAGAGTAGAGCTTGGAAATAGTATTTTTTTATATGGGAGCACTATCATGCTTTATGTTTTTTTTTTTTTTGACAAGAGTACTAAATATTATTATATCAAAGACATGTTACATATGACATTAGACAATTAAAAAAGTGACGGGGATAAAACCAAAGAATCTGAAAGAACTCCTTTCCTAGCAAGTTCATCCACCACCAAATTGGCCTCTCTGTAAACATGGCTACAAGTCACAGCGCCAACCGATGATAAATCCATAACTTGCAACTATAGAGACCTAAGGCGCCAAGGTGGTCTAGAAGATCCACTACTCCAATTAATAACATTGGAAGAATCACCTTTTAATACCAAAGAGCAATCAATTCAACATGATTAGCAGTAACCTCACCACATGATTAGCAGTAACCTCACCACATGGGGCAGCATAACAAAAAACCACATTGCCTCTATCATCACAGCAAACACCCTCACTCTGGCCTTATCAAGAT